TTTTTTTTTTCTCCTGATGTGTCAAAAGTCAATTGAACACTGGTAATGAGAACGAAGTAGTGCTGAAAAAATCAGGTTGGTAATTAAGCTTTAAAATCTTATTTAGCTGCGGTTGTAGGTTACCATGTTGGTCAAAATGTGTTAGTTTCTTCTTTCTTTTATTGTTTCTTCTACTGTAAAAATGGTATTTTTGTTGTCAAAAAGTTCTGAAAAAATTGGTGCCGAACGAAATGCATAAATTGAAAGGTACTATTACCGGTTATTGTACAATTCGAGTCGGCTATGCGAGGATGCGTTTACTCTTGGTTATCTTTCAAATATCATTGATAATTTCTTTCATATTTTTTGTCTGCATTATATTGTGAGTCACTGGTGGAGGCGAAGCACGTAAGTGTTTGCTGTCGTACTATTATGCGTCATTCTGATCATTGTTTAATGATGTAAAAGGGGGGAGGGATCTTTCCTCTTTGCGATTAGTGGATCTGAGTTGAATGAGTAATTCTGTTCAGTTTTTGGTGTTGGCGGAGGGTTGCGTGTAATGCTTTATGTTTTATTTTACCGTTAATTTTATTTAAATTTTTTGTGTTGAAGTCTCAGTTAAGATATAAGGGGTTCTAAAATTGTGGAAAAGTGGGAGCTAGTGTTGGTCGCATTAAAAGGAAGTTTCCTGAGTAATTGATAAGACTTATTGGAGCAGTCCGGTGATATAAAATGTGATTTGGGCAATGGAAACAAAGATATGAAGCGTGCGGTATTTCTGCCGCATGCTGAATCGGGATGGTGGAAAAAAGATGTAACTGTTGTGATGAGGAGTATTTTTAGTAGGGGATGAGTGACAGACAATGTGTTGCGGTTGGGTTTCAGTGAGGAACGTGTGTGACATGTTTTTTTGTCTTTTATAGTTTGATGATTCATTTGCTCGCTTTATGAGTTTGCGTTAGAAACATCGGAAATCAGCTTCACCGGTAGATTTCACAACGACTTTTCTGATCAAGGTTTCTTCTCCAGCATTTCTACCATTGACAGTGTGTTTGAGGAAAATTCATTGATTGTATGCTCTGGACAGTTAATAATTGTGAGCTTTTTTTGTGGTGTTGGTGCAGACTTCTTGTAACATAGAACGTTGTCTTGAAGTATGTATTGTAGTTTCTATGCTATCACAGAATGAATAAACTATTTAACCTGGTGTACGGCTGGTATGCACAGTGACAAGTTGGCGAGGTTTCGGGAACTTATAGCAGCCGCAAGATTTTTAAGATTAGTTGCTCATTTTGGCGGATTGTTGTGCTGGTATTATATGCTAGTTTATACAGTACCATACATTTACGACTTGCTTGTTTTCTACCTACCGATCAAAAAATGAAAGTGTGTTTTCTCCTGGTATGTGCGTAGGAGAAGTATTTGAGCTAGGGTTTGGATATCAGCGGTTATTTCCTAAAAGAGTTGCGTGTAAGGCGAGAAGAAGGAAGAGGATTGTTGTTGAAAGGCTGGTCTCCCACCGGTGGTAAAGTACGGGAAGGGGGGGAGGGGAAAAAAGGAAAAAGGCGGAGCTGTATGAATATGGCTCTAAAAGTAACGTCAAAATCGATACCGTTGCTTGAGATCGGTATGCATGTCAACAGT